TGTTCGGTGTTCAATAATTGCTTAAAAATTGTGCAACACTCGTTGAGCGCGGCCTAAATGGGAGCTTGCCATATATCTCATCATACGCTATGACGTTTGAAAAGGACATACCTCCGCGGAGTTAAGACGTTTGAGATGACTTAGTTCAGCCGTTGGTCATGGCGGATTATCTCTTCTAAAACCAACATAACTCCGCCGCCTCAGAAGTGACATATCTCCGCACGGATATGTACAAATTGAAAACGAAGGGATTGATAGTGCCTACGACACACTTTCAGTGCTCATCACATTTTTAAAGTTTTACAACACAGATTCTGTTTAATACAAAGCAGTCCTTACATTTTTTAAAAATTTAAAAATTGTATCTTGCCGAATTTCTGAACATTTTACAGTTCACTTGGCTTACAACACATGTAAAAATTATATCACTTGAATGTTTCACAACATTGATTTTGTTTTAATTACCGCTTAACACTTGTTTGCACACAATTTTAAATATATGTTTGTTATTTGATTTTTTTTGAGTTTCTTTATTGGTTTTCTTAATGATTATATCATTTATTTGACAAGAAATTTGGCCAAACTTTGATATTCCAATGACACCGCATTTTCTTCGCATGATGCAATGCGCATTTACAAACCAAAATATTTCAGTCTTATAGCACACTGATGTCATTCCATTTGAGTTTCTTTCAAATATATATATATGCAATGATTTCAAGCATTGAGCGAATGTTAAATTGCGTCATTGCCTCAATTTCGACTTGCCTTACTTTCGAACAAACGAGTTTTGAGCTCGTTTTCAACTTTGCTTTGTGATTTCTAATGCCGATGCGGATGCTGGTGTCTACGATGATTACCAATTAGATGAAACTAGATACTTGCCTCCGAGAGAAGAGCGAGAGCTAGATGCCATTGATACTTGACTTTAGCTGCCTATAGAGAGCGTTTCGCCGACTCCGCCGAGATTGGCTGCGCCCCGTATGCTGCAATTTAATGAATATGTAATGGCGCAAAAAAAAAAAACCACTGCTGCATAAATTTTGAGCACCCCTGCTGGTGTTGGCAAAAAGGAAAATATCATTATCATTGTCTGTGCCATCTGCCCCGGCACTTTCCACACTTTCCATCTATACTTTTTTCATTCTATTACACTCCTGCACTTGGCAGCTGTTTTCCTGCGGGTGCGTCAAAAAATTATCTGGCTCAACTTTTGATGGCGTCTGTCTGAATTTTGCTCGACTGTGTTTGAAGTTTTGCTTGGGGCGCACTTTTTTTGCACAATTTTCCGTAATTGCTGCAACATGATTTGATTATTAAAATTTAAATATTAATTGAAATTGTTTTTTTTTTTTATTTGTTTGTTGACAAGCAGCTGTTAAATTGTGCCCTTTACACGGTTCGTTTCGTTCAACTGGGGATTGAGGTTTTGTGTGCGTTTGTGGTTATGTTCGTAGTTGAGGTTAGATGCGGCTTGTTAATCAATTAGTCGAAAAGCTGATGTTGCATTAAAATGCTGTTTGTTGTCGCAAGATTTATGCGGCTCATAAATGTCAAATGCAAATACAGACACGCACCGACACACACGCACTGACACAGACACCTGGTCAAGCGCCTTGTAACTGTCGCATAAATATAATTTCTATATATGTATATATTCAAAAGGAAACCCCAATTAATCTTGATAATGTCAGCTTACAAACTGCTTGACTTCTGGCTGCCTGGACGTTTGCGGGTCTTGCGGGCAGTTGCATCAATAAATGCCCATCAGCTGCAGCAACTGTGGGAATAGAAACAAGTGGCAGGCAGTTAGGCAGGACTATACAATTCTATGTAGGACATATCAAATAAAATATTTCATGCAAAATTTACAGCGCACACAGACAGAAACCGAAAACTGTAAAGAAACCATATGTCAATTGCACACACACACACACACACACACTCGCACACACACAACCGTAACGGACAGCAGACAAGCAAACTTGAATGCTCAGCACCCAGCCCTGCACAACAGTCCCCGCCTGCTTTGGCAAACACAATGGCATGTCAAATGCAAAAACATACTGCAAACTGTAGGCAGGGGCAGTCAAGGAAGGTTGTCAGGATAACTACACAATGTTTTTGAGTGCCACCCGCAATCCGAACCCCCCCTGACAGCCACCCATAACCACCCTATGTTGCCTTTTTTTTTTTTGGGTGCGCTGTCGTCTTTGCTGCACCTACAACTTCCGGCCTTTGTTGAAATAACCATAAAATCAAGATAAGTTATTGGATTTGCTGGACAGGAAGCAGGGTATAAGCACTTTTAACTCTCCATACGCAGAGAGCACAACCAAAGTTGCCAGACTGTGCGACCGTTCGTGTCTCTGTGCCGTTGCTGCCTGTCCTTGCCCGCGTCCTTTGTGCCCGAAACCTTGTGCGCTATGTCGTAGATTAATTGCCTTTTTTTTGGTACTTTTCTTCTTCTTTTTTTTTTTTTGGCAAAAAGTGCCATTTTTCTGTAATATAAATACTACCTTTTTATTTGTATACCCTGTAGCTATAAAATGGGGGGCAAAAATGAGATTAAATTGTGGAAATGTTTGTAAGGGATGGAAGTAAAATGTAAGCGTTGAGCTAACATAAAAATTATGGAATAAATTTGTTTGATAGTTGCGCAAAACTAGCTATAAGTGCCTGTGGAGTCCTTCAGAACTCGGCCTTAATAAGAGACGGCTCTTTATCAAAATAATAGTAAAATTCTATATTTATTAAGAAGTTCTAACAAGCTATAAATATGCCTTTGATTGATTTCTAAAGCTGAGATATAAGATTAGCCATTCTCTCATCAAATATTACAGCATCAGTTATGAAGAAATGTTGTCAAAATTTGCTACTCGTGTATTTTAGTATATAATCTAAATAAGCTGAAATCATTTTTCATCAGCAGCTTAGCAAAATTCAAGGGCTACTGAGAAAACTATGCAACAGAATATGATCAATATACCCTTAGATCTAATTATAGGGTAACTGCTGGCTGGCTTTGCATTCTGAACTAAAGCATTGCCGTTTGCTTTTTTTGTGAATTTCGACTGCCGCCTTTGAACTTTTGTGCGGCAGAGCAATTGCCCAGGCGACCTGGCACCACAGCGACGTCCTGCTAGCTGTAGTTTCAACATCTCTGCCCTTTTGCTCGTGAGCCCTCGACTAGCTTTTCTTTATATAAATAGTGGCGTTTGAGTTTGCGTTTGTTGTCGCCGTTGTTGGCGCCCACAATGCGCAGCTTAGCGCCTGTGCTGACTGTTACCGGGAGGCGCTACGCCCAGTGACTGCTGTGTGGCGCCACACAATCAGTTTTCGCACTTGCCGCTTGGAATATCGTTGTCGGTCGTCCGTTGGCACTTCAAGGGTCTGGTGGAAAGCGGGGGGCACTAATGCGATTAAGCCGCTTGTTGTGGCTGTCAACGCGTTGACTGGCTGACTCTGCCCGCGTGCCACATGCCGCGTGCCGCATGCTCCCTTTGGCCCCCCCCTTGCATAGAGCTCGACAAGCTGCCTCAGCAAGCTGCTTTTGTAATTCACTTAAGTGTGGCATTTTGGCCTGCGGTAAACGGCCGCCATTGTGCGCGTGCAACATGCCCCTCCAACTTGCCCCTCACACAGAGATCTCTTTAGCATACGGCCCTGGGCAGTTGGACAGCCGGAGCAGAGCAGCTTACCTTTGACTATATAGTATAGCGTCTATGGGGCAAGGGCTTTAGTTTAATCATAAATTTCATTTCGCTCAAGTGCCGCCTGTTAAACACAATTCTCTATGCGCCACGCTTTCAACGTGCCACAAAAAGCCGCAACCCAAAGCCAGTGGCTGAAACAGAACACATCAAAGCCACTGTCTGAACTGGTCCTTAACCCGGCTAACTACAATTTATGATGACATTATGGCGTGCGACTGTAATCAGATACCAGCTAGCGAGTCATGGTCACAGTTAAACGTAAAAGTTATATTAACTAGCTGTAGAAAAGGGCTGGCAAGTGTGACAAAGGGACACGCCTTTCATTTAGATACTCTACAAAAATAATTAAAGGCATTAAGAGTGCCTAACAGGCATTGACAGGCCAAGCTGAGCACCTAAACTAACTAAAAATTCTTTGAATGATCAGCTAAACACCTCATGGAGCTTAAGAGGACTTTATTCTTATAGGTTTTATCTGTTGGCATTTAAGTGCGTATATGCCAACGGCCCTCGCCAGCTGCGAAACTTAGCAGTATTCAATTCAACAATTATACAATATAAATATGTTATATGGAATCGGACTAGGAGTTGCTAAAAGTGTATTTTTTAAGAGGGTATCTGCAAGTCAAACATTTAGCTCTCCAGCGTGTTTTGTGTCGCGTTGGCACACGCACCGCCTACAGGCGGGCAGGCAGGCGGGCGGGTAGGAAATCTTTATGAGCTCACACGCTCATCAGGAAGCCCCGGCGCCGGCAATCAGGCAAGCCTTAGGCTAAAAGCAGAGGGTATAAAATGTGTGGGCTTGAGGGGTTGCCAATTGGAGTTTATTAATTTGAGGCCGTGCGTGTTGAGTGCCACAGTTGAGTCGAGATATTTTCAATTGTTGTAAATATTTCCTTTATTATTGTAATTATATTTATAGCTATGTGGCGGATGCGGAATGTGGAACCTGCGTGGAACACTGTGTGCGCCACTGTGGGCCGGCATTTCTGACATGGCTCATGACAATGTTGCGTGTCGCATTGGTTCGCTTTTTGTTGACTCTTTGGCTGCGCTTGTCGCATTAGCAGCATATTTCAACAGCTTTTTACTGGCCGAAAGAATAGAAATAAACACAACAACTTCTACATGCAATTAGTTAAATATTTTGTAAACAATTTTTATTATTTTAATGTGGGCAATTTTGTGGCAATTGTGCAAATGCCAGGAAAATCTGTGCTTTTCCACTCATTTCCCCCGGCTTTTAATGTTATTTATGCTATTTCTGCTTGTTTACTTTTACAGAGGGCACAATTTATGCCAAGTGCTTGGGGCGGGATGCGCACACTCTAGAGCACACACTTCCGGCACGGCCACATCAGGCTTGACTTGACTTGACTCCACAAACTTGGCTAGTCTCTTGAAGAGGAGCACCAACAGCAGCAGCTGGCAGCTGACTGCTAACTGGGCGTGGCTACGCCCTGATGTCTCAGGTAATTATGCATATTTAAGCAGTTTTGTCTACAGCAGTTTTGCGAGCCTAAAAGCGTCCTTTCAAATGAATTATTTATGCAAAGTGAGAGCGGTGCGGACTGCAGCTAGGATTCGGGCATATGCAAACATTACCTCAAGTTGTTGTCAAGTGGATTTCATGGAGCCTAGGGCCTGACAGGTCGGGCCTTCTATGCGCAATGTGGTAATGTGTTTATGTGCTCCTTAAAGCCCATTCACACACTTTGACGGAGGTGCGTGGCCATAATTGGGCCCCTAAAAGCATGCTATATATATAAATTTGTATACATGTATTGCGCCTTGAAATTAATGCCACACTATTAATGCTAATGTCCTAACATCGCTCCAACGCACTCGACATTTGTCAATGACGCAACATTTACGCTTTCTATACCCTATGCAAAGCATATTCAACTTGAGCGGCGGTGCGAGACAGGCAAATCTCAATTGCCAGAAAGTGTTTTGTGTATATAAACCTTTAAGCCTCATTGACCTCAATGATTAAGGTAGCTAGATCTGTTTAATTTGATTGGCTTCGCTGTGCTTAAGATTTTCAAATAAAACAAATATTTAATATGCCTAAATAAGCTACTGCAAAAGTATGTAAGAACTAGGCAAAAACAGAAGGCGGCGATAAAGAAAATATATTATATATGTGCATTATATATTTATATATTTTTAACTTTGACTTTGATCTTTTAAGGCACATATGTGTGTGAAAACACATATACTGAACTTTATAGTTTGGTAACTAAAGCTATCCAGTTTTGCACCTCTAGGCCTAGTGTGTAATTCAAAAAGATCCGAGACTAGACGAGAGTCATCTCATGATTCACAGCTTGATAGATGGGATAAAATCTTGTGAGGAAAGCTCAAGTCTATAATTTCAACTGATCTTAGACTCGACTAGAATTATCATAAAATGTGCCCACGCCTCACGCTCGCAAAAACATCATTACGAATTGGTTGATGCCCACAAATCTGCGTTGATTATTTAAATACAGTTTGAGGTATGATTGAAATACTTTGAACGCTTGCCTAAATCTACCAGAGAGCATTTTGCAGTCGTTTAATTTCAGCAGCATGACTTTGGCCTGATCTTCTTCAATGTGATTTCATTTCATCTCATTTCTCACGAATCACCCTCCACACACAAACACAAACACACACACACACACACACACAACCACACCCACCACCACATACTTCACTACACAGCTTTGCTTTCAGCTTAATTGTTTTGCAACTAAACATCACAGCCGAATGCCTTTCATCATTTTAGCAAGGCCCAAAAGCCCAATGCCCAGTGCCTGCTCAATAAGCATTGTTGTTGGGCCACAGAAAATCGTGTCTAAGTAGCTTTTGTGCAAATGAAAAGCGGAAAATGAACGGAAAACGGAAACGAAAGAGAGAAAAAAAAACTTTAGCACACTTTGAGGCGAAAATCAAAAGCACCATTCAGCCGACAAGTCAGTGCTTGGCTGGGGGAGGCTGCCAATTGCCTTGGCAGCTAATTAAAATGTATTTAAATGCGTTGTCACCTACCCCAGGCTCCCCCAAGCGCCCCTTCCATAGACAGTCGCGCCCCCTTAGACCCTCGCCCACTCACCCACTGTAAATCAGGTTTGTAATTTATGCCATTTTAATAGAATTTTCGAGACGCACGCACACACAAAGGCAAACAACAAATTGGTTTGCTTAGGACTGAGGACAGCAAGGACATGTGTACGAGCAAGGACAACATTGAAACAAAAACAAACCAACAATAAAAGTAGGAAATTAGCATAGTTTTAGGCACTGCCCAACATTTGCCGTAGCATAGTTAGCGGGCCAACAAAAGTTTTTTGATGTTTTTGCCAATTTCCCGTGCAAACGATTTACGGCCCGGCCAAAATTTGAAGAGGACTGGTAGATGGCGGGCGGAGAGAAAAACTTGCGGCAAGAACTTTAAAAGCGCGTTTAATTTATTGATTTGGGTCAGCAGCAGGCGCAGCACCCAAAGGGTAAGGGTCAATCTTTTGGGCGTTGCCCGGCCTGTGCAAATTTATATGTTTGCCCTAAATAGCAATCAAAGGCTTAACAATGACTGCCCTTCTACCCACACCCCCCCCCTCCCCCCACCCTTTGACTTACCACCCGCACAAATGTTCACTTAATTGAACTTTGAACCGAATCGAAACGTTTCGAAATACCAACGTATTGAATTCCAATTGGCAGCGAACTCTTGAGTGCTTTCTGAGTGAAATTCAAATAGTTGCGGCTGCCTAAATAAACTCGACGGCAACTTAGGGCCTGGCTGCTTTAGACTGGATGCGAGTTCAAAAGCTGATCTGTCATTTATTGTTGTTGTTGTTGTTGTTGTCACTTTCTTTGTTGTGCGTTTTGTTGTTTCGCATTTGGTTGGGACTGATAAATGTGCCGCTTGGCAGCCGAAACCAAAAACAAACACATAAATCACCAGCACGTGCTAGGCCTTCAGCTGGGATGGTAATAGGGCTGGGCCTGTAGAGAGACGGCCACTTAAAGTTCAACATTATTTTAATTATTGTCAGCTTTAGCATTGAGATATGTATTTTGTGTTACATCTTTAGATATAAGCAGCTAGATGGTCCATGAAGTTGGCTAAAGGAGACATATTCTAAAATGTAATAATCCTAATATCTGCGACAATTCGACGTGAATTCAAACGGATATTTAACATATACCTATCCAGTTGTTTGTACTTTATTCGCAAGCTGAAACAGAGTATATGGACTTGGAATATATATTTATGTATATCAGACCCACCACATTGTCAAAAATATCAGTTTGAAGGGCACTGCCTTTCGTTTACAGTTTTGTAGTCCGTAAGTTAATTAACTTTTCTAGCTGTTTTTAGAGTGTGAAAATCTGAGATCAACTTTCTTGCACTCATTTATTTTTTTTTTACTAGTTTTTCACCTTGGAGAAGCTTTACAGAGTCTCTAGTCCTATACTATATCTTTTTCCTAATTAAGCTCTTTTATGTACAATGCTTTTTAAGTTCTCACCAACTTTAAAGCTTAAAAAAAGTTTAATTAACTTTTCTTATTAATAAAGCTGCTTTCTTAATTTCCCACCTGGCGGAAAGCCCTCCATAATTCCAAACTCTCGCTTCGTTTAAGACTTCCTGCATTGAACCAATTCACCCGCCCCTTTGACCTCAGCTTCTGTCAAAGTTTATGTTTTTGTTGTTTTTGATCAAATTGGTTAACACAAAACGCACTTGTGCCAACAATTTGCTGGCCGACAACGAGCTTGAAATTTCAAATTCCCAAATTCAAAATCCCAAATCCAAAAGCGAAAATCCAAGTACATTCTGACAGATGGCAAACAATGCAGCCAGGCGAGAGTGTGTATGCGAGATTGTGTAAGTGTGTGTGTGTGTGTGTTGCAAAAGCCAAATGAAATTTGGCCACAGTCAAGCTGAAGCAGAAGCTGTGCAACACACACACACACACACACAAACACACACAGGGAGAGACTTGCTGCCAACCGCAACAGCCAAAATTTATGCCAATATTTGCATTCAATGCCCCAAAAATAAACCGTAAAATGGTTGTTGCCGCAGCCCTGAGAGTTGAGCCAGCACAGCAGGCAACATGGGCGTGTGGGCATGGCCAAGGCTGCCCCGTAAGCTGGGTTAAGGGTGGCAACTGGAGGGGCATGGGCATGGGGAACGCTGGCGAAGCTGTGGATAATATGCAGCCTGTGCGCCTGCATTACTACGTAGGCTCAAAATTTCATATTTATGATAGCAGGCGGCAGTGGTCGGTCCATGGGTGCAGAAGGGCTTGTTTGGTTGGGGCAGTGTGAATGTGTGCATTGACTGCAATAATTCAATTGCACACCTACGCAATTTACTGGCGCCACAACAGCAGCAACAACAACAACAACGAGAACTACAACAACAATCAGCACGCAGCCTATCGGAATATTGAAATATCGTAGCAGTTGCTCTTCTGGTCTGGTCAGCAGTGGGAAAACGTTTAAAGCGCTTGAACGCACACTCAAACATACACATGCACACACACACACACACACATGTCTATGCATAAAGCAAACATGGTCAACATTTAGCATATTCCGAAAGTTAGAAGCTGAAAAGCTGTCCATTTCAATCTCCAGCCGTCTCTCTCGGCCAACGACTCGGTGCTCGGTTCGTGTTTCCTCGCTGCAGGAGTTGGGCATAATTGGATTTGTTTAGCTGTCAATATTATGTCAGAAGTTGACATCAAGAGTTTGACACATGACTGCAAGGCATAAAATAAAAGTTGAGCGTGGGCGACGGGCGGCATGGAGGCGTGCCGCGACAGACAGGCAAGCCAGATAGACAAGCCGATAGAGGAATAGAGCTCAATAGCAGAGATACAGGCACTCAGAAATTAGACGGAGCAATCAGACGGGCAGACAGACCGGACTAGTCAGGCAACATGAATAGATAAGAAGTCTTTTGTCTATATTTAAATGCCCTGTTAATGATAAAATGGTCAACAAAGGCGTGCTGTGGCTGCTCGGACGTTTGTGACGGAAAGAAAGAGTTAATAGAATAAACTGAGGTGATGTTCAAGAGCTAGACTTGGGCAATTTGGTAGCTTAATACATTAGGTAGATAATAATTAGCATAAGTTTTTTGTTATCTTGCCCATAAAATAATCAACTTAACAAGACTTATATCAATTTGAACTGAAGGCACTTTAGATATGGGTGTAGGTCATCTGCTGGTATTTTTTAAAGATGTATTAACTATTTTAATATGCTTTCAACCAAGAGATAGCCAAAAAGTGAAAAGTATGAGTTACGCCTGCATTTTGCCAATCCCAGCTGAATGAACCCAATGAATTCAGGATGTATTCACGCTAGACTAAACAAATTTGGATGCACATCTATATTAGACGGATAATAAATGCTTAAAGGATAGGATAACTTAGTACGAGGTAACGGCTAGTCCAGCACTCTATATCTAAGCATTAACAAGTTTTAGGCTACAAATTGACTGACGCCGAAGTCAAGTGAATGATTCCAAACGAAAAAAAATATTGACATTCGAATGACGTGATTCAAAGCTTTGTATAGCACATTCACAGGCGCGAGTATCAAATTTTATAGCTGTCAATAAAAGGGGGGCTAGCAGTTGCTTTTTTTTTTGCGGTAGAACAAAGGCCAAAAAGAGGTAACACTTGAGTCGGCACTCGGCTGAGCAGCCATAGCAACCCCCGTCCCGTTGCGAATGTCCTCTCCAATGTCCTTTGCGCTGCGAACTTTACAGCTGATGCAAGCAATTTGCCAGCCAAAGCCACTCAAGTAGCCGCCTCGGGCGCTGCTCTGTCTTGACAAACAACCGACTATACATGCTCGTAATACTATTAGTCCTCATATCAATTACCCGACTTCAGCCAACTATATCCCATTTCTCATCTTACGCTGTTTGCCTTTGGCAAATATTGCGCATACGTCACGTTGCCTCTGCGTTTTGTTTTGTTTGCCCGCTTGTTTGCTTCAGTTGGCATATATTTGGCTTACAGCTCAAGCCAAACACTTGAGCCATAAACCAAAATTAAAACAAGTGCACAAGAGCTGCTCATTAGCCACGCCCCCCCAACTCGCCACACCTCCCACACACATCTGCCGCTGCTGCTGCTGCTGTTGCTGCTGTTGTTGCTGCTGTGGCACATGAATGATTTACATTTTGCTTGGCGGCGCCCAAACAGAGTTTTAATAAAGTATTTGCTCACTCGAGTGCAGCAACAGCAGCAAAACAACAACAATAACGACAACAAATACAGGCACGCAGTTGGGCTGATAGACTATGGGGTACCATGTAAAATAATCTCCATATCTTTTGCTTTAGATTTTCGTTTTGTTATATAAAAAGGGTTCACATTTAATAATTATTACTTAAATATTCATGATACAAAAACTAATCAATATAATATTCAATAGTTTCTTAATAATATCTCTTTTCACCCATTGCTGAAAGTAGTTTAAATATATAAAGGCCTTTTGAAGCACTTAATGGGTGTAGGGTATATCAACTGCAAATACTCAATGCCCAAAAAAAAACGAGAAAGAGATAACGATTGTATGAGAGTGAGAGAGAGAGAGAGAGAGAAACAGGCAGAGAGACAGAGAGCGGCAGAGAGACTGTACGAGATAGAGACAGTGTGGAGCCAAAAAGTTGACTTTTGCAATCAGCAAGAGCTGCAGACAGTGCAAGTTGCCTGCGCGCTGACGTTGATGGGTGAGCGGCAAATTTTCAAGCTGGCTGAATGACTGACACAGGGCATAAAGGGAAAACAGGGGCAGGTGAATGTATGTGCCAGAGGGGGCTGGTTGTAAGTTAAGTGGCTGACTTGGCACTGGCATAATTTACATATGCCAAACATGCAGCAGCAGCAGCAGCAGCAGAAACCAGCATCAAATGAGCGCCGCATTGTTGGCAGTCACCTGCAAAAATGCACACACTCTGACACACAAACACACACCTGGCAGCAGTCTCAGCTAGGGTTTATTTATATGAGTGATTAGCCACTGACAGAACTTTGCAGTTGCAGGCGGATCCCTGGAAAAGGGCTGCCTCATCTCTTCGGCTGCTGACTGACAGTTGCTGTGTTTATTTATTAGTTTGAGCTGTTGTTGTATGCAAGTGTGTGTGTGTGTGTGTGTAGGTGCTGCCTGTCGTGGCATCTGTCTGTTTGTGGCAGGCAAATATAAATAGCTGCAGCAGCTGACACATTGCACGTGCCACATTGCCTGCAGCCACAGCTTGAGTTGCGCGCCTTAAATTCTTTAGCTGTCGCTTAAAGCAGCCAAAACTACAACACTTGCGCTGCACCCTATCGCCCTCTAATGCTGCCTGTCAATATTTGAGTTTATTTGCAGCAGCTTCTGTTGCCGCCTTGCCGCTTGAGATTTGCTTTTTATGTTGCACACGTTGCACACGTCGCAGCTGCCTGGTAATTGAGTTGGAAAAATGTTGTTGACGCCCGCCCAGCGCAGCGCGACATGCTGCGACAATTGCAAGCAGCCACGCCCCCACCCAATCGCCTCTTTCAGTCGCATACACATCGATGCCTGTGCAGCTTGTCGCCTGCCAACCCTAACCCCCCCATGCTCCGCCGCTGCCCGCTTTGCATATTATTACATGAATTCTTTTCGTTTGTTGCAATTTCTGTGCACAGCTCGCGCTTTTGGGGTTTTCTCGCCGAGGCGCCATTTTTATTTCTCCTTCATCAATTTTTTTTTTCTGTGGCACGCTGCTGGCTGAAAACATGTGCGCAAACATTTAAATCAATTGTGCCCCCAAATGCTGTCAGAGAGGGCGGCGCCGCATTTTCGCCCTTTTGCAATTGTTATGCAAAATTCGAGCCACGCGCGCAAATCAAGCAACAAAATGCGCTAAAATTGACACGGCCCGCAGAAGCTGCCATCAATTTGGTTACAGTCCCAAAATGCAAAAAAGAATAAAGATAGGAGAACAAAATTGTGCAGCTGCAATTGAAAAGAGGTGCGGGTGGCATCACGGAACGCAGCGTGTTGCAAACAAATTTGATTATATTCATGCTAAGTCCTTGAAAACTATTTCAAACAGGACCATCAATTCAATTCAAATATGAATCCATGACATTTAAAAATACATTTTAAAAAATCTACAAAATATTCCAACTTACATTTTGGTCCTGATACTCCTGCTAGAAAATTACAGAAAATGAGATTTCTTTACTCGACTAATTTTAAGATATTAAACGTGTCCAAAAAGTTAAAGATTCGCCTGTGGCATCCTGAAATAAAATAAATAGCTCTATTTTATATTTTACAAATTAATTTCTGAGTTTTTGTCGCGAATGAAATTCCTTAGGGGAATAGTTTTCTTAATAGCATATATATAGAATATATCGCAAAAGCTTAATACTTGCTACAATTCCAACAAGACCGTATTAAGCCACAAAAATCGCCAAGCAAATTTGATAAATCTAGCGAAGTTCTGGCATTTTGCAATATGGCAAGTTAGGTCAATTTTAATATATTGTAGATTTCATTATGCAAATCGCTGCGTATTGATTGGATAGGCGGTTCGCAGCGTAAGGAAGTGGGCTAAGTTACTAGTCCGACAGTTTTTCAATTTCGATTTGTGGAGCGATTTAAATTTTAAGCCGCTGTCGTCGCAATTTTCCTTGGCATTTGCCGTGGCAAAATTGCATAAAAATTTCGCCTCGCTGTCTTGTGCTCAATTTCTATGCAGGAAGGAAGCCGACGGGTTGGAGCGTTGAATGGTTTCAGGGCTTTTGATGTGGCCCTTCTCTAGTTAGCTTTTGCTAGCTCTTGCTAGCTCTGTCTCTTTCCATTTGCTGCTGCAAGGTGCACAGTTTCTCACACACACACACACACACACACACACAACCACAAGCACACACAGAGACAGCGGCTCGGCGAAGGTCGCAGCGCAACGCCTATGGCGTGGCATGACATGGCATTATACGAGCTTTGGCTACAGTTAGACTCCTGAATAGCAAGACGAAGCAGTAGCAGCAGAAAATAAAAAGAATAACTTTTCCAACTAAGCCCACTCGAAAGCCAATAAGGTGGAAAGCAGCAACAGCAGCAGCAACAGAAATTGTACATTTTTCACATTTTGCAACTTGTTTTGCGGCAGCTACCAAAAGCCATCAGCATTTTAGATTTATAAATATGCACGTATATTATGCAAATGATTGCGCCCATAATAACATTTAATAATGCGACTCTTTAAGCTATTCAAATGAATACAATTAATCTAATTTCTGTCTTTTACAGGCATGCAGAAGAGAGCATTGTTAACAATTCAGGTAAGTTTTAGCTTGTAATTATTTTTAAAAAGTGACTAACTACACTGTGGATATAAAGATTTCGTTTAAAGCGTAGCCTAGAGCTTGATCTTGGGCTTGTAGCAGACAGCAGAGAAATACCTTGAATCCATTATGAAACATATATATTCTGATCGGACAAGATCTATGCAGTCTAGTTGGCTTCAATCTTTTCGTATAGTTTGTAAAATAATTACAACAATATTGTTGTTAGTTAGTTAGTACTTTAATCAAAGTCGGACTAGTATATCATGTAGCTGCCATTAAAAGAATAAATGGGAAACAATTATTAATTTAATATTAATATTATTATTATAGTTTTCTTATGAGCAGAATATTCTAGTATAATCATAATATACCAAAAAAAATATACTAAAACAAAATATCATAAATATAATTCCATATTGAAAACTTGTTAAACGAGTCCGGGTATATTAGCCTTGAGATTTGCCTTGTTTCTGGCATTTTTATAACAGTATTAAATTTTCTATTTATTATTTTTGTTGAAAAGTTTCTTTAGTTAAATGCCTTTGGCCAAGTGGTCGCAATTAAATTTAATTAGTTTTACTTCAAATTGCCAAAACTAATTGCCCGATGCGTGCGCGTCTTAAATATTTTCCATATAATTTGCTTTTTATGACAAGTGTCGCATTGTTGTTGTTTCCACAGAATTTTTATGTGAGCACAACGTGCGAAACTTTAGTTAAGACAAAAAAAAGGCGAGCGAGCACATTTAACTAGCAGTTTATAGCGTGGGTTAGAGATGGGAGTGAGGGTAGCTCTAAGCTGTGGCATGATTTGCCACTAATTGGCCAGATAAGCGCTTTTTAGCCATGTTTTAATTGGCCGCAGTAGCTGTTAACTGTAAATTGTGGCACACACACAAAACTCGCATTAGACATGCGGCAGGTGTGGCAAGTGGCATAGTTCCAGAACCCCTAATCAGCTGCAAGAACTCGCTTGCTCTCTCTCTCTCTCTCTCTCTCTCTCTCTGCTCTGTGTGGCACTTGGAAGTTTTTGGCAACTGCTGCCGCACATGCAACTTGGCAAATTAAAAGCATACTTTTTGGCGACTTGCAACCGCACGACAATGCAATAAAAGTAAACTAGTTGCAACTACTTGCAACATGGCCAAACAATTGAGCAACTCGTTCAAGAACAAAATCAAAATGCACTGATAGAAACCAATTGAAAGTGGGTTGACTGGGCTCTTGCCCCACAACATAGAGACAAAAGCAGCAACAGCACCAAAGAGAACACAAGGAAAAAAACTTTATCCTGCGACATGTTGCAGTGTCCTTACGCCATTGTATATTGAATGTTTATTTGCATGCAATGAGCCCGCAAGTGTGCGTGTGGGCGGGTGTGCGTGTGCCCGTGTGTGCTTGGCAAAACTTTAGACAGAGTTTAAAATAGGTCGTTGTAGTCATTGCGGCAACAAGGGGTTAACAGCGTTCTTAATATCGCATAAAAAGTGAACAGCAGCAGCAGCAGCAAAAAAAACGAAATGAAAACTGCGTAACAAAGTTAAAATGAAACTTTCAGAAAACTTTGCAACACTGCTCTCGCTGCTTACGGCTTAAAGCTCTAGCTTTACAAAATGGCTGCCCGCCTGGAGAGAAAGACGCGAGTCAGTGGGTTGGCGGGGCGACGGGGCGCTGTGTCTTTATTAAAGCGTGGCTTAAGCAGAGCAATGCGCGCGACGTCGCAATTCAAGCAAATCGATAACTTGCCACTAAATGCGGCACGTGTGTGCTATGGCTGGAAGGTTGGGTAAGGGAGTGGCGCCTAAATCTGGGGGCCACTCTTTTTGCAGCTTGCGTGTGCAAGTTATGGGCCCAAAATGAAGTCGATAAATTCGTGCGCCTCATCAAGTCTGTTGTTAATGTGCTGCTTAGCGATATATGAAGTAAACGATTTAACTAATTTACGCTCAGCTTGAGGTGAGTTGTGGCTGTCGCAGGAAATTATTAATTAAGTTTATGCTGTTAAAAGCAAACTCAAGTTTTGATCAAATATTTAAGTGAACTGTGAAAGCCATCGATTGTTTACTTACCTTAAAATGATTCCTGATTCTAAATATGCTAAGCATTATTGACATTTAAAAGTTCTGCACTAACATAAATTATTAATTGTTATATTTGTATTCAATACTCTTTGTAAGTCTTAACATACCAAAACTCCCCAAAAATGCCTATTGATAACGGATTTATACAGCTGTCTATTTTGCTCTTTCAAGTCAGCAAATTATTTCTGTAATTTCTCTTTGATTCTTGAGCTTCCAAAAGTTAAAATTTAAAAAGGCGACCCGTGAAACGTGTTAATCAAACTTCTTCATTTACTCAAATAATCCTCTTCGTGGACATAAAAATGAAAACAAATTTCAGACACTTGTTGAAAGTGCCAACAATTTTAATTGTCTGGCTTCGCGCTCATGTGAATTACGCATACGCCGTGTGGCCCCAGTCAGAAGTAAGAAAATAAGAAAAACCAAAATGAAAAGGGTACAAAAGTGCAGAGAAGCGCAAGAAATGTCAACAATAATTTTTAATTAAGATTTGTTTTCATTTTTCATACTATAAGAGCATAAGACACACACACACACATATACGGAGGCAACTCACAACCGCACACACACAGCGTCAGCGAGGAGTTAATTTGAATTTTATAGCAGTCAAGTTTGTGTAATTTAAGAGCCAGCTACAGGACGAGGCGTTGAGCAACACATGTTTGCCAGTGGGCGTGGCACTTGTGCATTGTAGCAAAGTACATATGTAACGCCAGCTAGTGTGTGTGTGTGTGTGTGTGTGTGTGTGTGTGTGCGGTGTGTGCACGGTGTGTGTGTTGTGTTTGCACTTTAGCGCTTTTTTAGACATCTCTTTTGCAGCTGCGCTAGCGCATGCTTCACTGCACCCACACACACAGAGTAAACACACACACACACAGCACACACTCACACACTGTCGTAGCTTGCAAGGGCCATAGTCTGTCAGACAGACAGTCGGACAGACCGACAACTCGCATGAACTTTGCATTCAAAAAAGAAAAGATAAAAAAGACAGCTAAAAAAGAAAAGGAAACTTTTTCAATTTCTTCAACTGCATTTTTGGTCCAGCCCCCGCACACGCCCCTCCGCCCTAACGCATACTTTTCCACTCTGGCATGCTCGCAGTGCATGGCATGTTTGTTCTTGCCGCTGCTACAAGTTAATCTGCTCCATAGACTCAACTTGCTAACTGTCTGCAACGAGAAGCAAAGCCCATCCACACCAGCGACGCCCTCGACCCACACTATTTCTGGCAGTTCATTTCCTTGAGATTTTCACAAGTTTTTGCCGGGTCTGAGCTGCAGCAAAAGTTCTAATTTCGTTACATACTCAGCACAAATTACACATGTAATGCATATGTAAACTAAACCCACTTGAGACGCCCGTCCGACCCTCCCCCACACCCTGCTCTCCTTTGTCCAGCAGAATTTCTGGAATTTATTAGGCATCTGGAACCCTTTAGCTACCTGCTCCATTACAAGCTCAAGTTTTATCGGACTTGCGCCAATAAGGCCAAGTTTATGCGGCAATTAAGACTAAGCCCGGCCAAGAAAATGCCCAAAGAAAATGTGCAAAATTTGCACGCGGGAAAATGCCGCAAAAATTGAATATATATTTATGTTATATATGCACACATATTCATTGTGCCGCTGCCGCATGCCACATTGCAATGTGGAATGTGTGTTTCATAAACGTTTGCTGCAACGTTTACTTATTAAATTATGTGCTCAAAGTTTCTGCAGCGCAAATGCCTTTCTGTCTGGCAATTATTTCATTATGTGTAAGCGACCTAAAACAAACTACCCCAAACTCAAACTCTAAGCCCCCTTTTGGCTGCAATTGCTGCTCACGGCGCGGACTTTTATGTTGCCGCCCCACTTGCAAACGGCGTCTGCCATAAAGACGCCTAAAAAGTTTGCGCAACATTCTTTTAGCTAGCTGCCGCCTACCCTTAACTAAGGTCTGCAGCTGAAGCTGGGGCTGGGGACTGCCTCTTCTCATTGTTATTAACATAATTGCATAAAGTTGCAGCCGAGTTGTGCAAAGTGTGGCAAAGACATTTCTGAAGACAACGTTAAGCGCTTAATGCCATTTATTTGCTTTTATTTTTTTTTATCTGCCCCTTCAGCACAAGGTCCTTTGCTGCGCGCTCTTCTTACACGCTGACGTTGCATACTTTTTGGGGCCGCATCGGTTTTAATTATTGTGCCAAAGTCAGCAACAACTGGCGTCGCCTACTTGTTTTTTGCTTTTTATTTTCACGCTTCCTTAAGCTCCATTAATTTGATATGCAGCGCATTCGTCCTGCTGTCGCCTGGGTCAACGTTGCGTATACGCATCATTAAATTCGCCCTGGCACAAAGCGGGCCGCACGCAAATTAAAGTGCCATATAATTTTCGACCCAACTCTGGACACGCCCACGGCAAAGCAACAACATACAACAGCCTCTACTGAAGGCCAGGAGAATTCAGTACTAAATACAAAGCGGGCGACTGTAAGATATCCTGTAAATTGATTACACAAATCACAGAAGAGCTTAGAGGATAACCTCCTGCAATTGGCTACCTGAAACCTACATGCCCATATCTCTCTCGCACATTTACTATTTACAGGGTATTAAAAGTGTGTGTTTTGTGCGTCTTTTTTTCAGACTGAGCTGCTTTTTGTGCTATTCCAAGCGATTTGCTAGTCCGATCTAAGTGATTATAAATAAGAGATTTAGCTTTTGCCTTTACGACTGAACCCCAAACGCGCACACACGCACACACTCACACACACAGACCAAATGCTAATGCGCGAACGTGCCAATCTGTATGTGTGTGTGTGTGTGTGTGTTGACTTCATCAAATTTCACTGCTTGGCTGCTCGCTGATTTACTTGTTTAAGGAGCAGCTGTGGCAACAACATTGATTGCGTCAAATGGGCCGCTAAATGTTGACTTTGCTTTTGAAGTTGCACAAAGCACAACTAACCAACCCCCAACCCCCACCCCCTTCCCGACCCTCACCCTCTTTCCTTAAACATGACAAAGCGCAACGGAAGCGGAAATGTCCGGCAGCGGCGCTTGATTTATTATCGGCCCTTATCGACGGGGCGTGTCCATCAGCAGCAGCAGCAGCAGCGACTGCAGTTAAGCATTCATTTTGTATTCGTATTGTATTCACGCGCTATTCACCCGGTATTCACTTGCCATTCGCTCTGTGATTAAGGTTCTGTCGCTTGAGACCTTACTGTCATGTCATACTCGTACACGGGTCGCTGTTGCTGCCCCCTCTGCTGCTGCTGCTGCTGCTGCTGCTGCTGCTGCATGTGGCACGCATATCAAAACGCTGCCCCCATCCGTTGGGGCCATCAATGCGTGACATGACGCCGCAGAATATGCCTACAAATGCCTGAAATTATGCTACAGTTTTTTGGCAAATATGTTATAAAGTTGCTGATTAAGCTAAGCGACTCATGGCATAGGAAATATTTGAATTTTTTCTGTATGTAAATATTTAAAGGCCAGTTGAAATTGAAAAAAGGCATTTTAGGGCATATTAAAAAACCTCAATTGATTCATTTCATATGGGAATGGATTGATTGCAGAGCACACAAAGCCAAATATTTATCGGAAACTGTAATTGAATGTAGTTTTCCAATTCAATAATATCTTGTTTTCCTTTTCGTTAAAGCTCCCCAGAGTGTAAGCTATTGTTTTTATAATTATTTCAAACGATTTTCAGTTTTTGGTTTTTATTTTATTTGCCTCCCATTTGCATTTGCTAATTTTATTTAAAATTGCTCAATTTTCCGGAATTTTCTTTGAGGTTTTCTTTTTTCCCCAGAAGAAAATAGAAAAAAGAGAGAGCCCATTTATTTTGCTCTGCTTTTTTCAACTGCTTTGATATATACATAGTTTCTGAGAAAATCTATGTTTGGCTTTTAATTACTCGCATGTTTAACAGAAAGACGAATGTATGTTAAGGTTACCCAAATCAAAAAAAGGGACATCACACTTGGCGAAGAAATGTATAAATAACAAATACATTCAACATATCCCACAGATAAAAAAAAAAACCAATCAATATTTTTTTATGCTGCATTTTTTACTATTACTTTTCATTCACCAAAAATGGTGTCAACTGTGCCGCAAGTTGCAATATTTCAGCGCAAAATCAATCATAGGTATCAATCACAGAGCACAATCAACTTTTTGATAGTGGGCGTCGTGCAAACGGGGGGAGGGTAGGTGTGTAGGCGTGTGGATTACAGCGTGATAGACACATGGTATTAAAATTATTGACAGCTACAATTTATTATCAATTTCAATGGAAATGCAAAATGAAAAGCGAGCCAAAGGCAAAACAAAGCCAACGACATATATTTAAATCAATTGCAAACAGCAAGGGGGAGAGGGGTAGCGGGTGAGCCATAGGGCTAAGGATGGGTTACGAACCTAAAAGCGATTGATGAATTGGGAAAACAATTAGAATTTCAAATGAGCCCAAAAGGGTTGAGGGTTAGGCAGACAGGTGTGTGTGTGTGTGCTTGCGGGGGGGTTTGTCAATTCCACTCTGGGTAAATTTATTGCATATTTAATGAGTGCAAGGCGCAAATGTGTGCATGTGTGTGTGTATGTGTGTGTGCAACGCACAACATTTAAATTTTAAATGCGCATGTTGTTGTTGCTGTATTTTGTTTGCCTGTTGCTGATTTGTTTGTGCAATTTGCAACTGTGCAACGCACTGGCCCAAATGTCTCTTCGTTTTGCGGCTTTAAGTTGCGTATACGCCGCGTTGCTCATAAATAACAAAATCACATTAATTTAAAACTCATTTCGCGTATAAACACAGACGAAGTGGTGAAGTGGTGAAGGGAAGCAGTGCCAGGGAGAGGGCAACGGAGGAAGGGCTGAAGGGATGGCTGCTGTTCGAAACTGAATTTTAAATTAAAATTAAAAGTTATAACGCGTCGCATTATCAGTGGATGCAAGGACAATGCCAGGACATGTCCTGCACTGCCTGCCAGCCTGCCTGCCTGTACAGACGGCCTGTTGTTGCCATAAATAATAAATATTGTGTACGCATACAATTATGGCAGCTGCAAGCACACACACACAACCACACACGCACACACACACACTTATTACAACAGTTTTGGCCAGTTGCTGTTGCTGTTCGGTATTCCTTTTTTTTATTGTTGTTTGTTTTGCCTGTGAAATTGGCCAGGTGCAAAAGTCTAAAAACAATTAAATGATTAATGACATTTTACAGCGCTTTATAAGCAATTTCTGCAACTTTTATAAAGCCACTGAATTATGCAATGCATTTGAGGCCAGTTGCATGTGTGGCAATGCATGCTAGATTGCCATGGGGGGAGATATAGAGAAAGAGGGAGAAGAGGGCGCAAGAATCAGGTAACCTTTGACTAAAGGCGGGCTGCGGCGAGTTGCAATCAAGCTGGTTCACACTAGGATATACTTTGGGCCGCACACTGTTATTATTATTTACTTATATAACTATATTTGATGAAAAGAAACGAGAGAATTTTGAATTCTTAATATAAACTGAATGGGAACCTTTGAAAGAAACTGTACCTATCCGTTAAAAGTTGTAAGAAATTGGAAAACCCAAGTTTGAAACAAACCTAGATTCATAGATATTGAGCCTTGGGTCAAGGATCGAACTGAAAACGGGAAACCGAAACAGAGACAGTAAAAAATATTCCTTTTTGTATATATATATAGTTCAATTCTTATAGACTTAAAATTAATTGACAATAAAACCATATCAAAGCACTCATCGGTCTGCCTGCCAGTGTTGTAAAAGCATCTTTCGCTCAATTGCATTCGCAGCAGGCGCTCGACTGCCGGAAGGCACTTAATCGCATGTTTTAATGGCATTTTGTTGCATTTAAATTAAATTCGCGCCATAGAAATGTCAATTGCAAGCAGCGTTGTGATTGATTTTTAATTAAAATTACATATTTATTTGTTTTTAATTAAGTTGATTGGCATTTCAAGCAGCAACCGCAGCTGCAACAGAACATTCTTCTTTTTTATTTTTACTAATTTCCGCAATAAATTTAATGAATTCGTTTTTTGTTGCTTTGTTGCAGGACACAAAGACGAGCGCCCACTGACAGAAGAGTATGCAGCAATAATATTAATAATAATAATAACAATAATCAGCTGCCTCTGCCGCAATATTACTTGCCACACGAGGGACACATAAAGACGTTGCCGCTCCCACACTGGAGCTACGAGTCGCGACATGCAGCATTCTTTGGGTAAGTTTGTGCCGCATGGGCAGAGGCAGAGGGTTGTCCTGTGATTTGCTTTGATTTGCCCAGGCACGCATCATTGACGTGCCGTGGGCTACACACACAATTTACATGCGTACAACGAGCCGCAGTCAGTCATTAATTTCAATTTTGTCTGTTTGCCAAGAGCAGCAGCCGACACCACACCCGCAGCCAGGCCGGGACATAACTGAAGGGTTTTCAGAGACAAGAATTATTTATTTACCAGCGTTTTGGGGCAACAACTGATGCTATTCGTTTGTGGCGCTGCGATTCCTTCAAATGCTGGCCGTTTGCCTCCTGCTGCTCCTTTGAATTTTGGACAGCTGCTTCGCCTCCAAATCGCACTACTTCTCTTAAATTTCTCAGGCTACTCTTTTTTTCAGCATTCTCAAGCCATTGCTGCGCTGCATTGTGCCCCTTTTGCTTGTTAGCCTTAGCTGCTTTTCTTCGGCTCTTCTCAAGCCGACTCTCAAACCCTTCTAGTGGGTAATATGGCTTACTATTGAATGTGTTATGCAGAACCCCCCACAGCAGTCGTACATATTCCCAATTAATTTTAATTTATATACAAACTACATACTCTTTTGGCTTTAAAATGATCGTCATATCGGTATTGGCCTGATCGAACAGCTATATCTTATCGCTGCCATAGCAATAATCGATCGCAAGTTAAGCTCTTGTGAGAACAACTTTTTGGCTTTTCGAATTATTTTAAATATAAACAAAATCGGAGCAAGCCAGTTTTTTTCTGTTTATTATTAGAGTCTTGCATCTTCGGCGTGTTGAAGACTCTATCCTTCTTGAGTTCGCATTCCCTAAGCAACTGCACAGCAATTGCTCCAACTGCTCCGCTTCAACAGTTTTTCCCCTTCTCCTTTGCCTTGACTACTTCAGCTGGCCGTCGCCAATTACATTTGCTTGTCGTGCTTCAACATTCTGCGCTCCATCTCTCGCAAGTCTGCCGCTGCTTGATGGTCGCAGCAGCAGCTCCAACGACTCTGCCACACGCTGCCAGGCCGCCTGCAACGTGGTGGCCTGTGGCCCTTTGCCCTCATTTGGTTTTTGGCCAAAATAAACAATAAATTAAATTGCCACATTTGATTGCTGCCTCCCAGCTGTGGCTTCAGAGTTGCCTGTGTACCTGCCTGGCGAGCAACATTTTTGATATGACTAAATGTATGGCCATACATTATGCAGTTGCTTGTCTTTGCCACACGCACCGTCCTAATAACAGCTACCCTTAAGCGAATCCCTACCCCTAGCGCTACCCCTACCCCTAAGCCCAAACGCCTCGCCCCTTAGGCAAGCATATAATGTCATTTTTTCTCAAGTTACGATCATTTACGCATTTATTTTCAACATCATTTGCTCTGCCGCCGACTTTTGTGCAATTGGAATTCAAATTCAAGCCGCAGCCAGGACATGGCCCGGAATATAGCAAGATTTATGTGCGCCGAGGACATTTTTCATGCTGCACTAAAATAAAAAAAAAATAATAAAAAAGTAGGGAAAACAAAGAAAAACGCACAAAACGTTCATTGAAAACACATTTTCACAGGCAGCACTCGAAATGGCGAATTCAATAAAGCATTACGTAATATTGCCAAGTCACACACACTCACACACACACTCATGCATTCGCACTCGCATTAGTAATGCAAAGCTGGCCATGTGTGTGCAATAATTTACAACATTTTAATCGAATTAGAAGCAGACGCTGGCGAAGAGCGTGAGCAGAGGGTTGCACATGGTGCAAGAGAGGCAGCAAAGTATGCAGAGATGTGGCAGATAGCAAGGGGGCGAAGTGTGAGCGCCGGGGCAGCTTGTGTGGGCAACGCTGGCAGCTTGAGTGAGCCAAGAGCCGGGCCAAAAAGCAAAAGCAAAATGCATTTTAAGTGTTGCAAGCGGCGGGCGCTGTGTGTGGCAGGCAGCGTGTGTGGCAGTCAGGCAGTTGGCGCAAGTGCCAACGGCTAAAGCATAAGACAAAAAAGAAATTATATAAACACACACAAACACACACACACACACACACATACAGCCACTGCGCAAAATATATAAAAAGCAAGAAGCAGCAAAGCGTTAGAATTTGTTTTGAACAAGTGCCAACAAATGCTTTTTATTGTTTTTGTTCTCAGTTGCAGCTTGCGCTTGGCCAAAACTTATTTTTTGCTAAAAAATTAAAGCAAACGTTTAAAAAGTTTATAAAACTAAATTCACAAAGAGAGCTTTAATTGCATGCAGAAATAAACAATAAAAGCATTGGTCAGACTTCATAGGCAAACAATTAAGCTAAATTACTGTTTTATAAACTCAACTTTGACGGCGCACTAAAACAGTGTTGTGCAGCAGCTAAATGTCAAGTCTTTTAGATTAAACTAATAGCTGTAGCTGAAGCTTTCGATAGAAAACACGCTTTCCAGACAGGCTCCGAACAGTTATTGAAGATCACAGCAAATTAATAAGTTTATGAAAGCTTAAAAAGACAGGAGCTTTAAGAAAGTGTTGTTTTTAAAAAAGATGAGATCATCTATTCAGGCCTTAACCTGAGCTCACAGCTAATCTATTAACCAAATAAGCTGATCTGTTAAAAGTAGATTAAGACATGAGAGCTTTAATATTAATAAGCATACTTAAAGCTTCAATTATATTACAGCCCCAATGCTTCAGCTAATGCACGCTCGCATCATTTTATTTCCAGCTAACAGCTTTGAAAGCGCATTAAGCCTCAAGCTTTAAGCTTTAATATGCTCAATGCATACAATTAAGCTTACTTAAAGCATCAAACTGCATGATATTCTCCATCTAGCAGCCACTTTGAGCGCTTTTTAATGCATAGCCAAATATACAAAAACCCACTGAAGATTTGCTCAAGCGATTCGGCATTTTTTTTTTTGTGTTCCTTAAACCAAAAGAGGACGCTGCATAAAGGGCCAAAAGTAAATTGTCATAAATTCCAGGCAATAAATTTCTATTTGTTTTCATTTTTAGCCAGTTTCATTTGCTGTTCTGCACCGAGTGGCACCGAGCCGCAGCCACAGCCATAGCCACAGCGCACAATGCCAGTTATGTTGCCAGTTATGGTGCTGCACAGTTGCACACACACACACGCACGCAAACAAACACACACACATAGAGCGAAATAAGCTAAAATGTTGTGTGCCAAATAAAACGTCAGTTTATGCAGCCGACCCAAACGCTGGGCTGCAACTGCGCGCATTTATTATAATATTATTAAGTATACGCCAAGTATGGCGCAGCAGAGCGCAGCGAAGCACAACGCAACATTGGGGCGTATTTCATTGTTGACATTTAGTAACATTTATTGGGCAGCTGCACGAAACTTCTCTAAAACTGAATCAATCTAATCGCAGCCCAGTGAGCTGAAAAGAGAGGCAAAGCGCAGAACGTGATGGTAATGTTGTGTAATGTAGTTGGTTGGACAGCGAGAAACCTTGTTTACATTATGATAAGTTGACCAGAAATAGAGAGTTTCAAGCATAAGCTATTCTCTTCGCTATGCTTCTTACTTCCTAGTATTTATAAGGGAGATTTTGGTCAACGAAACGCTTCTCGCTTTGGCTCTTGCTTCTCGCATATTTCTTATGCACACCTCTTCATGGATACGCTGGATACGCCCATGATTATAATTTATGAATTGCCTTCATAATTTTTAAGTGAATGCACTTCTTATTTCGCGTCACAATTCCCGCCTTCCATAGCTCGCTTCTTTTCTTAAACCCTAAGATATCTGCCGATTAATAAAGAGCATAAGAAATGCTTGAAACGTTAATACTTCCCACTTCTCTCTCTGCTTAACGCTTTGCTTCTAATACTTTGCTGCCAGTTATACTTTAGCCCATATCTGTCACTTATTTCTTGGACAGTTTTTGGCTGACTTCTCTGTTTGCTTCTTACTGTTGCTTCTTTCTGTTACTCCTTTCTTAAGTTAAGTTTATTTTTTTTGGTTATTCCCACACCCGTCTGCTTTTTGCTGCGCTTATCTACAATAAATTATTCTGTCCATATAAAACGTAATGAAAAGCGCTTTCATTTCGCGTGGCACTATTACATTTATGCCACACCTTGTGGCAGCTGCCTCGACTTACGATTTCGGAAGCATGCATCGCCAGCTGCTTTTGCTGCTGTTGCTGCTGCCGCTGCTTCTGCTGTCACTTAATGTCACTTGCTGCTAATAACTTTTGTCTTTGCGCCATAAAAAATCGATGTGGCTCGAGTTAGATTCACAGCCCGCAGCTCACAGCTTGCGACATGAGCCGCATTACAAGTGATTGGTTTGACATGAGCACAGAGCGCGAAGGGGCGGCCGAGCCAGCGCGCTGTTGCTGCCACTCGCCTGTCACAAAATCCGCTAAGCGCCCCAGACAACTCGTGACATGTAATGAGCCGCCCTCTGAGCTCCATTCAGCTCTCGTGTGAGACCCAACAGCTTTGGGTGTTGCGGCAATATTTCAATTTTATTCGTCTTGTATGGCTTTTAGGACCATCCGAAGATTTCTCGCATTACTAAATTAATATTACCCAGCAGCGAGAAGCAAAATGCATTGTGTTTAAGAATGTAACGGAAGTTAACTAAACAATAAGTGAAGAAAGTAATAATATTAGATTGAGTAACGCTACTTTAAAGAGCAGGAAGAAGCGAAGGTATAAACAAAGTTAGAATCTAGAGAATCTTTCTAACATCGCGAAGCTCACATTTAAGGCAAAAACCTACACTCGTTCCTGTTAATAAATAGACTTTTGCTATATTTTACGGCCATTGTTAGTGTTACACCTGTTTTTTTTTGCATTTCCATTAGGGTGACCATTTTGTCGACTAGGGTAATTCCGGCTGCCCCAAAAAGTAGGCTACGAGAAAAATTAAATAACAATTTCGTGGCTTGTTAATGTTGCAGAGTGACATGCGAACGTTGCATTATGGAATGTTATTATAAAATCTTGCCACAAGCACACACAAAGACAACATACTGTTACACACACACACACACACACATGGAGCAGGGCACTATTTGTATGCATTTAAACGACTCTATTTACCACAAAATGGCTGCGCTGCGAAATCGACAACAACAATAACAATAACAACAGCTGTAACTGCAGCCACGGGGCATGCAACAACATGCCAACAAACAATGCCAACGATAATAATAATGATACCAACAACAACAACAGCAACAACAACTGGCAACCAGGATTTTAAAAGCCAAGCGCTGGTAAGGACTACAATAAAATCAGGCAGCCAGCAAATACAATTTCTAGTGGGCGTGTGTATGTGTGTGTGTGTGTTTGTGTGCTTGTGTGTGCACTTTACGGCTATTTAAAATTTAAATAATAGCGAAAAACCGCACGAAATAATAATAAATCATAGGAAATATGCACGCGCGCCCTTTTCCTCCCAAGCCCCCGTTCAAGCTCTGCTCCTATTTTTGTGTGTGTGTGTGTGCGTGCGTGCGTGTATGTGTGTGTGTGTGTGTGTATTTGGTAGCGCGTGTGTTGATTTAATAGTCGCGGTCACAAGCATTATGGCATGTTCATGATTGCCACACCTACACGCCCCTTGCACTCGAGCCCTTAAAATAAACGTGACCAGCTAGTCGCAGCTAGCAGCGACCCTCCCTTCCGTCATCCAGCCCCCTCTCCGTCAGCCGACTAGGCCACTGTTGGCCATTATATGTTACGCTTACGGCTTTTCGCTGTTGTGTTTGCTCGTTCCTCAACCGCTTCTCCCTCTCGCCTAGCTCTTTTTATATGCAAATTCCGCTTTTAGCTTTATTCGCATATGCGCAGTTTTTCATTATTTATTGTGTGTTTAAACAGATTACGTATACGCCGCATGTGCGTATGTGTGCGTATTGGCCATGTGGCGCACCCACATCTTTTTGGCCAAGATTACGGCTGATGACGGTCGCAAATTGATTGTGATACAGGTGAGAAAATGTTGTGTAATCTTTGGCAGATGTTTTCCAGATAACGGCAGAAGCTGTTACATTTAATAGTCATAGTTTATTCAGACATTAACATTAGATAAGATAATTGTTGTTCTTGTCGAAATTTAGTTTTGCTTAAAGAATTTCCTAAAAATTAAATTACAGTACAATTCTTTTTAATTATAGATAACAAAAACAAAATATTACTAATAATAATATAATAAAAATATTTATGATAAGTATAGAAATAAAAGTAACAATATATAGCTATATTTGGGAGCCGAAGATTAGATAAAGATATTTACAACGTTATGATATAGTAGTCCCAATTAATAGGTAGGCAGGCTGCTTTGTTAGTAGAATGTTGAAAAATTGAAGAATCGTGTAAATTATTAAAACTTGCCGACTACAAACTTAAATTTTGACCGATTTCTGCTGTAAAGGTATATGATGTGGTAATCCGATGTGGGATAAAGTTTGTTTATACGTAAGGAGCTTAATGAAACTCTTAATTACGAAAGTCAAGATATTTGAAAATCAAATAACTTTCATACACGAACTTAATTCTCAAGCGTTCATGCAAAATGGAAAATATATGATATATAGTGAGTCAAGTCAACGACAATCCAAGACTTCGGACAGCTTTGTATTCAAGAAAAAAGACAGACAAATACTGACCAAGAATATATATACTTTTTGGGGTCTTCTTCTATGCGCTCCACAAATTAAAACAAAATAAAAAAATATACTCGACACGGGTGTAATTAGTGACTGGGATTATAGGAAAACAGCATATTTACCCTTTACTATTCGCAACAATGCATAGAATCCCAGTTATTTATATTATGTTTCTCAGCACAACTGGGGTTATTGTCGAAATGAATCCTTCATCCACCCCGGCACAACAACTCCTGCTGCACCATTAGAGTAATCAGTTTAACACTCTATTGAGAGCTCAGCTTGTTAAGATCTGTTTCTTCTCAGAAATCTCTTTGTGAGTTCTTCGCCTCGTCCAGCCCCGAAAAGTATGCTATGGCAAAAATGTTTTTTTGTTTTCTAATGAATTTTCATTGCATTTGAATTTTATGTAACCGCAACAATGGCAAATTCTATACGAGAACCGAACAAAGCAGTTATAAACCTGCAAAAAAAATTAAAACCATAAAAAAAAGTAAATGTTGCATGCAACGCAGACATTTTGTTGCTGCCACGTTCTGCACTTGTGCATAAATACAATGGCCATAGGAAAAAACACACACAAACACCGAAGAAACGAAGAAATGCAAAAAGAAACGTGAATAAAGTAGAATAAAATGCAATGCAAAACTTGCAAACGGCAACAAAGAGCAACAAAACACAAGAAGCGACGAGGCGCAAAATGGCAGGGTAGCCAGCAGGCGGCTGGCGGCAGGCGACAAGCGGGAGGGAAAGAGAGAAAGCAGTCAGTCAGCCACTTTGGCGTATACGTAATATAAATTTTGGGCAGGCGCGAGAGGGTGAGAGATAGCGAGGGGGCAGGCTGCTTGGGCTGCATGCCAGCAGAGGCCAAGATGTAGGTAAATGGTATTAATGGCTAGGCACCCAACAACCACCCCCCGTCGGCACCCATCCCCTCTGAGGGCAGCAGTTGGCAAGCGTAACACAAAAATTGCTGCAATGCGACTTTTTCGCTTTGACTTTGGCGCAAGTCGTTGCATGCACGTGCGGTGTGTCTCTCTGTGTGTGTGTGTGTGTTGCCCGTAAACTAAATAACTGTTTTTTGTGCTCAAATATTGCAGCACAAATCACGCGAAAATCACAGCGCGCACTCCAAAAACTTTTCGATTTAGCGGCAGCAAAAAAAAGAAAAATGTAGATGAAAAAAACTGTTGCACATAAATTAAGTTTCGCTCGCAAATTGTCTACCAAAATGCTGCAGCTCATGAGGCGCAACACCCAACGAACCTTCTGTCCCTCGACCAATGCACTGCCTCGGCCAGGCTTTGCGGCGCCTTGCCAATTGCCAGAGGCGTGCGTATGGGCGTGGGACGGGGCGTGTGGCACACTCAAGCGTCATCAACACATCGTGTACGTGACTTTGCTAACAAAAATTAACAATTTCATTAGTGGGCCCACAGTTTTCTACTGCTTTTATTTTATTTTTTCTTGCCAAAGGATCAGCCGAGATACCCGCTTGTCGTAGTGTCATACTAAGGAACAATACTCAAACACTCACACGAATACACAAAAAATGGCTAAGCTGAAAGGAGTGCTAGAAGCAGCAGATGGCAGCATAAAAATTGCTGCCACTTATCAAACAGACGCCACACACAAACACACACACACACATACACTTACTCACACACGCCCACTTCCTCTTCCTGTCTGTGTGTCAAAACTAACGAACCGCGTGGACAAATCCAGCGCCACGCCCCCTTGCTGGGTGCCCAAGTGCGATGCCGCCCACTGCAGTCATTCACAATACATCTAAAAAGGCGCTGCGTGCTGTACGTGCATCAAGTGTGCTCCAAATGCACTTCATTGCCTCACGAGACACACACACCTATTACTTAGACTTTGTGTGTGTGTGTGTGTGTTCTACACAAAGTAAATGAAATCGCACAAGAGCTGAAAAAAAAAAAATAGAGAAAAAAATGGCTCGAAAACTGAAGACAGACATCAAAAAGCGCCAGCTCAGACGCCGCCAGCAAAAGTGCGAGAGGGCTTGAGCGAAAGGGGGCGAGAGGGAGAGAAAAAACACTCTGCTATTACACACACACTCTCACACACACACACTCTCACACTTGACAATCAATTGCCCAAAGTAGTTTAGCTTAAATCAGATAAAAGCAAAAAAAAGGAACAAAAACTTTCCAAATTTGAGTTTTGCTATCGCAACTGCGGTCCACCCTAATGAGAAACCCCCCGGAACTATTTACAGACTTGCCTAGAGATGAGCTCGTGTCCCTTATATATCATACACACATGACTAAATATGGTTTTAAAGACATGAATTACCTATCACTAGATATATCGATACTTGTTTAGGATATCGATATTTACTAAGGATAAAATAAAGTTGTAAACGCAATTGGATTATTCCAACATTTAATTTTTATACCATGAACCCATTAAAAATGTGTATAAGGGTATATTGTATTTATGCTAAATCCAAATGTATGTAACAGGCAGAAGGAAGCATCTCCGACCCCATCAAGTATATATATTCTTGATCAGCATCAATAGCCGAGTCGATCTAGCCATGTCCGTCTGTCTGTCTGTCCGTCCGTCCGTCCGTCCGTATGCATGAACGCAAGGATCTCAGGACATAAAAGAGTTATAGACTTGAAATTAGATGTGGGTGCTCCCAGTGCCTGCGCAGATCGAGTTTGTTTCCGATAATCAATAACTTACTCCGTTTCCAAGCAATCGATAAAAATCGATATCGATATCCTCTTTTTTGGGCAATTTTGGTAAATAATTAGAGCTAGAGTCACGAAACTTGATATGTTGCTTCTAAAATATTATATATTTGTCAAGTATCTTTCATTTTATACCTATCGCCTATACCTATCCGCTACCACCCCAGAGATTTAAACCAAGTTAATAACCCAACTTTTATTGCCAACCAATTTAAGCCAAAATTTAAATGCAATTGACTTTTTCAGTATACACAAATATTCTATGATACAATAAGATATACTGTAGAAAATTTCATAAAGATTATATGACACTGCGCAATTGAATAGAGCAGCATCTTTTAGAATTTCTGTATACATGCTTCGCATTTTAACAGCATGGTTATTGCGACTTTTCTCTGTAATGATATTTAAGTTCCTTTTTTATCATATGTGCTTAATTCAAAATTTTGACCCAACTCGAAAAATTGGCAAGGTATGACAAGGTATGACGCAAGATATGACGTTTCAAAACGACATAACTCCGCGCGGAAATATGACTTTCCAAAACGACATAACTCCACGCGGGGATATGACCTTCTATCACGTTTTTTTTTCAAAATCGAGGTTGGTGCGAAAATCGAAACTTTTTCGATGAGATATGACCTCGATTTTGAAAAAAACATGATGTAACCCCTTGCCATTTTGTCGATTTGGGTCAAAATTTTGGATTTCCTTTTTTTGATGCCAATCGATAGAACTGATCCTTACGAGTCTCCGCGCGGAGATATGACGTTCCAAAACGACTTAACTCCGCGCGGAGATATGACGTTCCAAAACGACATAACTCCCCGCGGAGATATGACGTTTCAAAACGACATAACTCCGCGCGGAGATATAAAGTTCCAAAACGACATAACTTTTTTTTTAATATCTCGGGTAAATAATGTCTGATTTTAAAATGTTATACCTTTTTGAATGCGTACGGATCCCTAGCATCAATTGGCATTCAAAAAACGTAATCATCAATCGGTTGAAAACTGTTGTTGACAAAAAACCGATTTGTTTGTAAATTCAACCTTTTTGATGATTTTTTGGGATATTTCCGTCAAATGAGGTCCGATTTTGCAATTTAATACCATTTTTGACTCGCAAGGATCAGTTCTATCGATTGGCATCAAAAAAAGAAAATCCAAAATTTTGACCCAAATCGACAAAATGGCAAGGGGTTACATCATGTTTTTCTCAAAATCGAGGTTGGTGCGAAAATCGAAACTTTTTCGATGAGATATGACGTTCCAAAACGACATAACTCCGCGCGGAGATATGACGTTCCAAAACGACATAACTTCCCGCGGAGATATGACGTTCCAAAACGACATAACTCCCCGCGGAGATATGACGTTCCAAAACGACATAACTCCGCGTGGAGATATGACGTTCCAAAACGACTTAACTCCGCGCGGAGATATGACGTTCCAAAACGACATAACTTCCCGCGGAGATATGACGTTCCAAAACGACATAACTCCGCGCGGAGATTTGACGTTCCAAAACGACATAACTCCGCGCGGAGATATAAAGTTCCAAAACGACATAACTTTTTTTTTAATATCTCGGGTAAATAATGTCTGATTTTAAAATGTTATACCTTTTTGAATGCGTATGGATCCCTAGCATCAATTGGCATTCAAAAAACGTAATCATCAATCGGTTGAAAACTGTTGTTGACAAAAAACCGATTCGTTAGTAAATTCAACCTTTTTGATGATTTTTTGGAATATTTCCGTCAAATGAA